CATTACCATTAGTACTGGCGCAGGCGAAAAATAAAATAAGCAAATAATGTTTAATATATTAGAAACTAGAGTTACTATTTATCTTTCATTATATATTAATAAACGATTCCAAAAATGATAGTAAATTGACGATTAAGTATGTTGTGTTCATTAACTTAATGGAATACTTGGAAATGCTTAAGGTTCTACTTTCAGAAACAATTTGTTGATGTGAAATTCTTAAGGAAAAACATCCTGCTAGTGTTAGTGAATGAATAATGACAAAGTAATTGTAAATTTGATTAGTACAAAGGTTTGATCAAAGTACTTAATCTACTGCACTTTGTTCGAAGGTAATATTAGGTCCATTTATTGGACTTTACTCGTTCAGTACTTTATTGTATTACAATGTGCGTTACGTGTTAACCAGATTAAAATAAATAAAAATCAATATTGGATAATGGAACTTATTTACGAGAATATAACATCATTCGAATACTTATATTATTTTCTTTCCTTTATTTGGGATGAGTTTTAAAAAGTTAATCGAAACTTATTAGGTAAATATAAATAATTATATAATATTGAGCCTTTTATAACAATTACGAATTTGGGTAACGTTTATAATAGCTAGTATAGTTTTATGGAAATAAAAAATTAGGTAGTTCCATTGAAATTTGACCAAGAAAATGTCGGTAAGGCCAGCGAATTATATATTTTAAACGACTGAACTACAAAATTCCGTCGTCATACATTAATCTTCCTCGTTTGAGTTGACGTCAGAATGAGGGGGCCGAAAATAAGACAATTTCAAGAAGTGAGGCCATCTCGTAACCTGCCGTTATCTACTACACAAAATCAAAAATATCTAAATATGAAACTCTGTTAATAGAATTGGTATGAAGATTAAGATGTATGAATATAGCATTTTCATTTGTGGTTAAAAGTGTAACTAAATGATGAGATAGATTCTTATTCGTAATGTGACCTACAACTTTCAGCACTTGAGCTTTCCCACCTCGAAAGTAAAAACGGAACTAGTATTGGATCAGTTTTTTGATTGTTCATCAGTAACAGCTGATGTTCTCCGAATCTACTGGACCGAGTTAAAATGTGGTACTCATAGTAGGTGACAGGACGTTCGACGAACATGGAGAACTCATTTAAAATTAAAAAAAAAAAAATTTGTAAACAAAATTGTGTGACACATAGTGACGTAGTCAACACGAAAATAGTGAAAATTTATCAACATTATGAAAAAAAAAAACAGAAAATATTTCTTAACCTATAGAAATAGAAGAAAAAAATTCTCTGAAAATCTCTTAGAAGCATTCGGACTATCAAAAACATTGGTACTATTAGGTAAGGTAAGCTGTACTATTTCATAAACATTTATTATTATCATAAATATCCTATTAATGTTCCCACTGATGGGAAACAGGCTTTCGCAATGGAAAGAATCAAATCAAATTGAATAGGGAGAATGAGCTATGAAGTGGGCCCAGTGTGGATCGGTGGGTATTAACGAATGCATACAAAACCGAAAGCTTTGAAATAAAACATTATTGGTGACCCATCCTATTATGACCCACTACGCCCCATCGAGCGTCAATCTTACCCATTAAAACGTAGTATGACAAGATATTAATACGACATAATAAGTAGAGCTTGGAGTTTATCAAGAAATGTGGTCTATGTTGATTACAAATTAATTGCGACTATTTAAATTGGATTTTTCCTAATAACCTTTTTGTGGTGAGTATTACCGAATTTACACTGGTATTGTGAGAGGTTTTACATTGTAAACTAACTGTTTTCCCGCAAATGCGCCCGCGTAAATTATAGCCTGTCACCCGCATATACGGTTGCTAATCGTACTGAAATATATAGTACTATAATTTGGGCATGTGTACTATATACTGTTGGAAAAATATATAATACAGAATACTATACATTCAACGCCGAAATTTTTGAAATAAATTCTGTGTTTATGAAGGCGTTTGATGTACATCCTAACGTCTTGGTTAATTCATATGTTTATCTATATTATTTTTGTGTCCAAAAATTTTATGTAAATGTACAATGTCAATAATCTTGTCATATCAGGAAAGATCAGTATTAAGACGAGCGAATGAACTGCATTAAAATAATTCAATATAAGGCATATGGTTCGCTCGTTTTAAAACTACTCCTGCTGCAAAGAACAAAGAGCTAGGTATCTAAACGAACTACAAGAGTGAACTAGTTCGTTTAGGAATTGCGAATTAACTCGTTCAATCTCAGTTGAGAATTATTACGCCCAAGACTATTAGCAGCCCTACTCGCATATGTATGATGTAGCTTAATAACTGTCCGTAGGTGAAAGAATATATCACCTATGGATGGAAAAAAGTAGTTTCGGAGCCTATTCAATTTCAACAAATAAATATTTCGTCTTAATATTAGGTACGCTACATCACACGACTCAATGACATCAATATTTTCGAAATTGACCTCATTTACTATAACTGCAGATTAAAGATATCAACTGCTATTTATATGCGTTTTTAAGACAGCAAGCAAATACAAAAAGGTATGTATTTATTGACCCATATTTCCTGCTGAATATTATTAAGAGATTATATGAATTTTCTACGACAGTTTCATTGTGTCATCTTAGTTATTTTTTCTTCTTCTTCTTCTTTTATTAATGTCTATTTGTTTGTAAAATCTTATCTGCGCATTTCGCACAATTCTGCCTATGTCAAGTGAATAAATTAATTCCTACATGTAAAATGGAAATGAAATGAATGCTAGTTATTTATTTTCTTGAATTTAGTACAGAATTTTGAAGGATTATTCATTTGAATTTTGGAAACACATTTCTTGTAACTTGCATGAAAGATCTTTTTTGATAAAAAAAAAAACGTAGCCATGGAACCTATATATTTTAAAAGCTATTTAATTTTGTACAGCACAGCGAGTGTTTTATCTTCTTAAGGTTCCCTTGGGATTATAGTTCGTCACTCCGTTCAGACGGAGTCTCATATAGATATCCGATTTTAAGTATGTACTTTAACAAATATGCGTTATGTAGTATGACACAAGTGAGTAAATATTTTGACATATTACACACTATCTTTCACAAGCGTTCGTTATGGTATAAAGCAATCCATTAGCGTGACTCTTTATTTTGCAATAAAACGTTGAGGCACTGTTTTGGAGTTTGCGTTTATGTATATTAATTGTATAGATATATATTATTTTTAAAAATACCTCAATGACAAAAATATTTAATAATATTACAGCGCTTCAGTTCAAATTGTGTGCAGCAATGAAAGATATCTTAGCGTATAGAGATGCCAATCCAGTTTTCCCAGTGCATCTCCAGGTTTCTGCTACGTTATAGCCTTTTGAGTAACACTCTGGCTTTGGTGTGATGCGCCCTTTGTTTTGAATCGACGTGGTGATTTTGGATGTCATTATAACGAAGAGAGAATGAGTGCGTCCTGCGGGTTTAGTCTTATTTCAAAATCCACTGCAATCCCTTTCAAAGGTGTAGCGAATAGTGTTGCCAGGTGTCCCGATTTACGCGAGACGTCCCGTTTTTCAGGGGTCCGGGGACGCGTCCCGATTTGTACCTAATCGGGACGCTAAATGTCCCGATTAAAAAAAATATATTTTTTCATACTATCAAATCCATTTTTAAAAGCCCCTAACAATGTAGAATTAGTTCACAATTTTTTTACGCAATAACATCTTTGTCAATCCTTAAAATTACTAAAATGTATTTTCAGTTTTTTTCCGGGTCAGTGTTATTATATTAGTACAGAAGCTGTTGTATAGGTACTTCTGTTCTTTCTTTCAAGGTCAAATGTACGTAAATTAATATTATTTTATTGTTAATCTTGTTATTTATGATTATTTTGTGTTAAGGTTTATATTTTAAACTTTTAATTATAAAAAAAGTACTTGTTTTTTTGTCTGTCTCGATTTACAACCCCAAATCCCGATTAATTACACGCGCTGTCCCGATTAATAATAAATTGGACCTGGCAACACTAGTAGCGAATGTGATAGCGATTTATGGAATTATGTAACTTTTAACGTTGCAATCGCTTTTGGAGCGAATAATGATTTTTATGATCAAGAAACAGAATAAAAATTCATTTAAACCCGTTAAAAAATAGCTATATCTTTAAAAAAAATTGCGATAGATTTTAAAAATTCCTACTGCCTACTGTTCATATCCAGGAAGTTATTCGGTAGACGTCAGCTAAGATTGGGCGTAAAAACAATAGAATATGCTTGTCTATCTCATTGCCGAGAGCAAAACTATTTTTAATATTCGAAAACCTCTACGATTATCGTAAAAGTGTTACACATAGACCTCGGCTATAAAGTGAAGTCGGTGTAGGCGCCCTCTTAAAAGGAAAGTGAAATTATAGATTCAACTGCCTAACAATGTCACCGGTAAATTTGGGAGAAAGTCTTAAATCTTTATGTCACAAAAACAACGGCGTTACGCATTCGTACCAAGTATGTTATAAGGAAAATGAACTAATGTCATTTAATGTTTAATCGATCATTAAATTCTAATTAACCAAACGACTTGACATCGTTAGACGAAGTCATTATCCGACATTCATTTAAATTGTTATTGATTGACGTGCCTTATGGAATTTATAATCAAGGTAAGGTATTTTAAACAATAAATGAATAGATATTCTTCGAGATTTTAAAGTGTAATATACACTAAGGAGTTATAAGGTACAAAATAAATATGATAAAACAGGATTACATATCAAGATAATGCGTCAATTGTTTTGTACATACAATAATTACGGAACCAAGAACAAAAGATGTATGTTGATATTTAAATCAACAAAAGGGAAACTCTTAAACAAAGGAGTAGCATTGCTTATGAAAGCAAAGAGCCAAGGAACATCTTTAAAAATAATTTTTATAGGTACCTGTATTTTTACCAGAAACAAAGGCTTTCCAATAGCGTAATAAATAATGATTAACAATGTTCAACTTACTGCTTTTCCTGCCCTCCTGCACCCTGTAAGTCAGGTCAGTGAAGGCCAAATCTACTGGCGGCCTCTTCGGAAGGTGCGTAAGGGTCTTGTGCTGAGCCGGAGTAATGGTCACCTTCAAGCTGCCCTTCCTGTCGGACAAAATAGGCTTATTGTCCACTGGACCCGCAATACTCAACTCCTTGTCCACTTTCATTTTGATTTCACGATTTGTTCGAACAACTCATAGACTATCATAACACTACGTCACAAAAACCGAGGCGCAGACGACCAGCACGCGCCACGTACGAGCACCGACTGCACCAAGCAACCGAATGGCTTTGAGTTACAACCTCGTTTACCGTCGCCGGCCCTCTAGTCCATATTGCTATCGTAATAGATTTCAATATCGATCGTCATGCGCTGGTCACTGTGACGTAGAGTAATTAAGTTTTTGAACTTTGCGCTTGCGCATGGAAGCGTTCGTGCGAAGAACTGGTGTAATTTAATATAGTATTTTTATATTAATTGAAAGGGAAAAGGGCAATTATTAATACGAGTTTAACGTAAACTCGTATTAATAATGGAGCTATTTACGATAACATCTCTAATTAAATTAAGCTTACAGTGATATCACAAAAAAAAATTAGAATTTTAATGTAAATTACCAATTAGTAATATTTATAGCAAGTATTAGTATTTATTTAACTTCAGTAGATTAAGGTTTAAAATATATTGGAGAAATTTGGTCTATTATAGAAAGTGAAAATGCTGTCAACTGTAGGTATATATTGAATAGCTTTTCACAAGTTTTTAATTAAAAGATTAAAAGTTAAAAACGACTGTTAAATTATATAGTACAGTAAACAGTTATTATATAGGAAAATTATAATTTTTACATATTCTCTTAATATACTCACTTGAAAAATTGAGCAAAGTGACTGAGCAATTTTATTAATAGCAAAAAGTAGTTTTCTTTTTTGTTCATAATAAAATTGCTCGATACACTTAAACACACATAAAGAGCTCGAGTAATCTCGGTTTGGGAAAATATGTCTAGTTTTAAATCGTGGTCACTCTTTTTTTATCTTATAAAGAGTGATACCAGAGATAAAGAATACACTTCATTAATATAATTTACAGATACACCTTCGAAGTAATCTAAATTTTTTGCATAGCAATTGGCTATTTCGTATAAGTAGATCCGCGCGAGTTGCAAACTTTGTCTGTATCAAATATGTTTATTTTATTTAACACCTTATAATTATTAAATTCAAAACATACTATATCAGTTGGGCTTTATTGTACTCCGTATACCTAGGGTGTGTGGCTACAAACCAGCATTGCCAGGCATTCTGATTTTCAAGACATGCAATTTTTCACCTGAAATTGATCTCAATATGAGAAAATACACTTCCCTCATATGACAGGCAACTATAAAAACTTAACTGCTCTTAACGGTGAACCAAACAGACAGTGGCGCACTAAAATAAACATTTTGAAGTTATGTAGCAAAACATCGAATAGAATCTTTAAAAAAATCTTATCCATTAGTATAGGGATGATGACTGGGTAAAAAAAATGCAATTCTATTTAGTCCGTCAGTCAGATAATAGAAAAATATTAGATACGTTTTTTTTTTACTTCAATTTAACAAGAAATAGCTTAGATAACAGGCATTAAAGTTGAGGAGTGGGGGGCTCGTTACGTCACAGTTGAGTAGAAAACGTACTCTAACGTGACGTCTTGCGAAATTTCAACTCAATGTAACGCCGTAATTTTATGATTACGAAAAAAAAAAATACGTGTTTAATATTTTTTAACACTCTACCTGACGGACAAACAAACAAAAATTAGTCATCATCCCTATTGTTTTCATAAGTTGAAGTCTATTGTTACCATCGAATTAAACTAAAAACAAAAAAAAATAATGAACAAAAGCGAGAGGTCAGCAATTTCATTAACAAATGATAACTAAAACTCCTTTATTAATTCATGATATAAAAAAAAAAATATTTTCTCGTTCTTACTCATTCTTACACTGTCGCATTTTAATGAATATTACTGGCAAGCCTACTGTGACTGTAGAAAAGGATATAAACAAAATACGGATACCAAGTTTGTTTATTTTTATTTCACGGCTTCCTTAACAATGAAATAATAAGAAAATGCTCCTATGTAACAATGTGTTTCGGTGTCGTGCCATCCTAAACACCAACTTTGAATGTGGACACAATAGCCAAGAGTTCGTCGTCCCACCAAGCAGCAATTGCAGCAATTTTCTACAATGCCCTTTCTCCCATTAATATTATTTTCAATTAAAATGTTAACATTAAAAGTTTCCGTATTAACTTCGATTATGTATTCATCCTGGGAATGTACATTCTCACATAACATGACATGACTGATGACCCACAAAGGACTTAGGTAGAAGTCTTTGATTGTATACTTGTCTAGATACGAGTGTTGCGCTACAATTGTCAAAACAATACAGGTTAGATTTTCGTGTGCGTGAAGGTGAACATAAGAGTGCATGAGTACTGTTGTTATTTATAGGCACACGCAGCATCTTATTAATAATACCAGCTCCCCTTATATTTTCCACAAAAGTAGGTAAAAACCTATTTTTAATGGATCAATAATTTATTATAACTCATTATATTGTGTAATGAAATAAAATAATAATACAGATTTGTGGAAAATATTATTTATTTTTAATGTTTTATTCCCAGATTATTTTAAAGAAGATTATTTACACAATAAAATATATTTATTAAAGTACGGCGTCATCAATATTCAGACTGATTTTATTAAGCTAATGAATTAATGAAAATATTATATATTAAATACTTTACCAGTTTTTAACAAAAGTAAAGATATTTACATAGACTATGCCACTACCAAAGTAATTTGTATTACAATTGTAAAAAAAAAAATAATAATAATGTTGATCAGCATGTAACAAAACGAACTTTTTTGTTAACATTGTGGTTATTAAAAAAATATTCCTACCTTTGTACTTTGGTACAAACAGGTGGCTCTGGTACACTCTGCTACCTTTATTTATTGTATACCATAAAATATAGACAGTTTAATAAATAAAAGCAAAAGTATACAACATTTTTTATAATATAAGGTATGTATCTTTTGAATCATGATTAAAATTAAATTGAAATTCCTTACACTCTTATGTGAGATTTTAAATCAAGAATTGGCAACCCCATAAACAAAGTATCATATAATTTATTATTTTAATTATTAATTAATCTAAATGGACTTTTTAGTTTACCTTCCATTGATATGTATTTTTTTTTTTATTGATTCCATTCTTTGTTTGCAATTCCTGCACACTTTAAATGTGCAAACTTTAATTTTCAAAAGTGACATCTTCTATTTTTTCTTTATGGCTTATCTGCGCATTTCGCACAATTCTGCCAACGTCAAGTAAATAAATTAAATTTTACATGTAAAATGAAAATGAAATGAATGAAAGATTTGAATACATGTTTTCATCACAGTGACAGTTTTGATAGTGTTTTGAACTTACAGGGTGACAGTTACACCATATATTTTTTGGGGTATAAGCACTCTGACACTATATCTAGGCAAGTATATAATCAAAGCTACAAGTAATTGGTATTTTAGCTGGGCAAATAATATAAGTTCACTATTTATCAATTCACTATATTCCAGACAGGGAAAGTATGTTGTCATACTAATACATAAGGATGACAGTTAGCTGACATACATAAGGATGCCATTCTATTAACATCAAACTTATTTACTTATCTCAATAGATTATTTATAAAGGCATCCCCTCTCTTATCATTTTAGATTTGCCATATAACCATATGATAGCATCATAATAGTCTGTAGCAAATGACATAATCAAAGAGTGCTATTTTGCTCATCTATATTTTTTTATGTATTTATTCTTGAATTACTCTATTTTAATTAACTTAAACTTCAAATGAAATAATACAACTACGAATGTTGTAAGATTGATTAACTTGGAAGTAACAAAAACAATAGATTTAAAATGAGGAGTGACAAAGCATAGATTATAAATTGGATCAGATGTTCAAGGTTCATATCTAATGGTTGTGTTCCAGTATAAAATAATAAGCCAATTATTATTTTCTTTAATAATATTTCTATTTAGACCATTCTAACTTATTTTGTGAAAGATAGAATAGATAGAAGAGAGATAGAAACAAGAAAAAAAGTTGCTATTTTATGAGATATGCTGACAGATCAGAATTGAACATTCTATTCTCTAGTATGCTGATATTCAGGAGCACAATCAAATTAAACAATCTATTAACATTTTTGTAAAAAAAAGATAATTTGTAAAAATATCAGTACTATAACTTGGCAACAACTTCTTTCTTCATTATGTTTTATATTTTACAGTTATGTAACTTTTGGTTGCATTGATGTTTAAAATATTGGTATACTTGTCCCTTAGGTAATTTAAAGGAGTTGCAAGCAAGCCTTTCTTTGAAAGTTTGAGCACAACAGGTAGATGTAATATTATTAAAAATTAGTTTATGTACAACTTTTCTATAGGCATTTTGTCTAATAAAAACCTATTATGATAGTATCATAATTTTATGTTGATTATTGACATCTATAAATATTCATAAATTTATATTTCTTTCTAAATAAATTAACTGCTCTACATGAAGAACCACTGAAACAATGTTTATTTTTTTTTTTTTTTTTTGGTTAATTTGTCCCCCTTGTTTGGGACGGGCAAAGGATGTTAGGTCCATACAGCCCTGCCTGGATTTTCTTGATCTTTAAATCTTTTGAATTGTATTTTTGACAAATCTGTATACAGGAACATAACTGTCAATGTTTGATAAGAGTTTTCTTAAGTCGCGCGGGATGGTTTCCTCGTTAAAAATCTTCATTCTTTGTAATTCTTGAAAGAGTATTTTTCTTTGTGCTTTAAATGAGGGACATTTGAAAAAGATATGTTCTAGTGACTGGTTCTCCATGTTGCAGAAGTCACAAATAGGTGAGTTAACAATCTTTAATCGATACAAATGATCTTTGAAAAGGCAATGGCCTATTCTTAATCTGCTTAAGGTAGTGTAAAAATCTCTTGACTTGTAATCACCCTTGTCAAACCATGAGGTACTGATATCCTTCTGAATTTCACCAAGCCACTGTCCTTTTTCTTGCAGAGATGCTTTCCAGTAATCGAGCCATAGTTTTTTTATTTCTTTCTTCAAGTAAGGCATAACATCTGTATAAGGTGTACCAATATCTTTCACGACACATTTGTCATATGAGACTACTGCTTTACAGAGTGTG